CGGCGTAGGGACCCAGCGGTGCCACACACTCCCCGGCCACTCCCGGCGTTCACCCGCGGGCGACCGGGGAATGTCACCCCGAAACCGGCGTCTGGGAAGCCAAATAGCCTGTCCCTGTGTTCACACGTGGGGAATGACGTCCCTAAAAAAAAAAAAAAAAAAAAAAAACCCAACCAAAAAATCCCCCAAAACAGTGCCCTGCCATTTAAAAAAAGTACAAAAACCTACATTTTCATATCTCTACATGTACTTGCCAGTGCACTGAAATAATTCTGGAGGGATATACAAGAAGCTGGTATGGTGATAACCTCTGCAGAAAAGCTGAGTAAAAAGACTGACGCCACGTTAAGGAAGGATTTTTTTTTCTCTTTGGTCTAGTTTGGATTTTATTCTTGAAAAACCATGCGCACTTATACATATTTCCTCCCAAACGGAAACACACCACCCACCCGTTCTCGCAGAGAGACAGGTTTAGCCCCAAATTCCATCTGCCCTTGAGTCTGGTGAAAATTTATTTACTCTAACCTTTGTTATTTTGAAATCTGGCTGTTCAGAGAACAACACAGAACGTGAGAAAACGCGAAGTCTGTATGTTCTTCTCAAGCTGAGGATTTTCACCAACTCCAGCCGGGTTTACCATGTTTTAAAATATGGGAATTCTGATTTTCTTCCAGGATCAGTCCCGTGCTGTCATTGTTATGTGTGCTAATAAGCAGGAGAGGGTGTTTACCGCTGCAGTGATTAGAGAAAATAAATTAATGCTTTCACAGACTTCACTGTAAGGCTAACATTTGTTTAGCCTAGTACTCATAGTCTAATACCTTTTTAAAGTAAAATATTTTACAGTTAGATGCCAGACGTTTTAAGTATCCGAGTAATTTATTTAATTGTTATACTCTAATTAGCAGGAACAAATGCTACACGTGTTGTTGGTGTTAAATAGATTAGAGTGAAATTGCATCACAGTGTAAGTCTGACACCTTAAAGAGAAGCAATTAGTTTTACGGTTGTTTTGTTTTTAATGCATTTAAAATAAAGTGGCCAAGGTTAATTTAATGAGTGTATGTGCCTTAAACTTGTTACAACCCCCGCCCCCCCAGATTAAATTTTTCTTTAAAGGGCACCCTTAACTTCAGTGTGTAAAGTGTCCCTATGGTTTTCATTTTTATTGCATGCATCACACTGAAGAAGAAAAATTAGTCCCTGGAAAAAGTTCCAAGAAACTTTATTTTCATGTATTAGATAATGGATAAACAAAGGAACTGATTATTATTATTTTTTAGAAAAGGCGCACTGAGTTGAGTACTAGCCAAGTCTGAAAGGTAACATTTTCTCCAGACTGAACAAAAAACCTGGTGGAATAGTAACCATTTATGTTCTAGTTGTATTATACATTTGATCTAGTAACACCCACATTTAGATTGTGCCATTTGTTTTTTGCACTTACCAGTTAAAAAAAAAAAAAACTGTTCCCAGAAAGAAAACAGTTTTTAACATTTCTGAACCAGTTTTCTTTCTGTGTGGCAGGTGTCTTGGCAGTAACCAAGGTCAGCCAATATGCTTTGTAAATGGGTTATAAATGATATACCAATTGTAGGGTGTGTCACGATCAATTGGTTCTTCTGTGCTTCTTATTTATGGTTTTGATGGATCTAGCTTAGTTCTCAGAAACAGAATGTTGAACCCAAGCTTGTTTAGCCAGCAGTACAGAACCAATCACTGTGAATTTGAACTTGCAATACATTGCAAAATAGGAGATTTATGGTGTAACTTGAATTCCTTGTCAGTGAGGAATACAACTGAGATCGCTTGTTACAAGGAACTTTTATAACCCATTCACCTTTATTTCACATGTTTATGAGGACTGGCTTCACTTATGATCTGCAGTTGACAGTCATAAAGTTCTTTGTTATAATGGCGAATTCTGATAACAAGTTTGCTTCACATTGGCTCCAAATTCCACTGGAAACTGTCATAAATGGCCCATTTATAAAACGAACCTTCCTGTCCCTCCTTTACTGATTTCACATTTATGAAGAGAAAGGAATGCTCCTCTAGAAAATTGTTTTCTTTTAACCGCAAAGAGGAAAAGAAAAAAGAAAAGGAGCCCTGATGTGTAAGGTCTTCTTAATATGTTTTCATCATTTTAGCAAAGCAATTCCCCGAATAGTTCTATCAGCCAAGCATATTCATTTCAACCACAAGTCAAGTTGATTCTTAGCACTGACTTCTTAGAAGTGATGTAGTGCTAAAGTCTTCCCAGTGTCTCTTTGTTTTTATAACTTGGCTGTAAAGTGTGATGCTAAAGTAATTCAACAGGATGTGAACTGTAAATGCAAAATTCAGTTTCATCTTTTAAATTTGCCAGCAAAGAATTTGGAAATATCTGTCCTCTACTTGGCTGTAAAGTGTGATGCTAAAGTAATTCAACAGGATGTGAACTGTAAATGCAAAATTCAATTTCATCTTTTAAATTTGCCAGCAAAGAATTTGGAAATCTCTGTCCTCTAATCTGTGAATATTCAGTAACGCTCGACTTATATTTTTTTTGTCCATTCTTTATAATTTCTTTTCTTAAAGTAATTGGTATAACTAAGTTGCCCAATTTTGTAATTTTCAACTTGCTAAATTTTTCTCATAGTTTTTTTTTTTCTTTACCGAAGTAATGGTACAATTTTTATAGCAATTTAAGACAAATTTAAAAGATTTAAATTTGATAATTTTAAAACAAATTTTATATTTTGGGGAAGAAATTATACTAGCTTAAGTTCTCATTCTTTATAATTCACATCTAGTAACTTAGAGGAAATACATTCCCTTTAAGGATGTTACATGCATAAAAGAAACATGGAAATAGGAGTGACTGCCAGACAGGTGGCCTTTCCTGGTAATACTGATTAACCCTTTATATGAACAAAAGTTGAGTATGGTACTGACAGGGCAAATAAAATAAAGTAGTATCACTGTATATAAGACAATGCAACATTAAAACAATGTTGTAAGATTTGCTTGCATCCTTTGTAAAATGAAAAAAACAAATTCAGGCAGCAGACAATCATGATGATAATTATGGAATGTATTAGAATATCTCTCTTTACACAAATTTTATACCTTTTCTAAGATCTGTTTCCATTAATGCATGTAGGCCCTTCTCAAGTCTCTGGTTTATTCCTCCACACATAATCTGAGAAATATACATAATCGCCTCTACACATAATCTGAGAAATATACCTGATTGTCTCCAGTTTTCATGTGAAATGAGGACTGCCCAAAGCCATTTAGCACACTGGCAGGTGGTTTGTGATTGCTTTTTATTGACTCTCATATCTCAGACCTGTGACACCAGTGTATGGCAAGTGATGTCCATAGTCAGAAGAGGGGGGACTCGTGTTAATGTCCAGTTGTATTGTTACTTCTGGTGTATTTCTGAATATAACTCTATTTGGGCAACTTTTAGAAAATATTCTAATTCCGCTTAAAAAAAACCAAAACAAAACCAATAACTAGGGAACTAAATTCGTGGAGAAGAAACCAGTGGTGAAACTCTGCATGTTATGATGCTGGTTAAAGCTTTGCATGGGATTATATGGTAATATGCTGGAGGAGCAAATCAAATGTATGTGATCCAGCATTCTATGCAAATCTCAAGTTTCTTGGTCCAGAAAGGCCAACCTAATTATGCTTCAAATTTTCTTCTCAAGGGATACTTTATAATAAACCAGGTACATGCTTGTTGATGATAGGGATGGGATACGTTAATGTATGTATGTAGCATACACATAAAAATCATTTATATTTTCCTACTTACTTTCTTGTGCTGTTTCCTAGCCTTCATCTCGGCGGCTTGGATTGTCCTGTGCCAACTGTCATACCACAACCACCACCTTATGGCGCAGAAATGCCGAGGGTGAACCCGTGTGCAATGCTTGTGGACTCTACATGAAACTCCATGGGGTGCGCCATTTATTCTGTTCACATGTATATACATTTAATACCTGGCTTGTGCATGGTTTCAGTTTTTAAAAATTCAGCAAATGAAAGGGTAGGAAAGAGAAAAATCTGAATATATATATGCACTTTAGTGAATCTAAGATATTATTATAATATAAACTATTATCTTATGTATCAATAAAAACCCTAAAATGTGGCCAATTAAGCGATCACAAATTTCCATTGTAAGACATATTCCAATTTAAGATATATCAGAATATGAAAAATGTGCAATTTAGAGTTGATAGCATAGTAGTAACCATTTTTAAAGCTGTGCACAGTTAAATAAATCAACTAGAAATGCACAATAACTAGTTTATATCTTAACTTATAAATATTTTGAGTGCAATCAAAGACATTTGTACAAAGGAGTAATAACCATTTTTAAAGCTGTGCACAGTTAAATAAATCAACTAGAAATGCACAATAACTAGTTTATGTCTTAACTTATAAATATTTTGAGTGCAATCAAAGACATTTGTACAAAGGAGTAATACATTTGATACTATAGTTAGAAAGATTGGATACTTCATTTAAAAGGATTGCACAAAATATTAGGAATACCTCAGCCTTAAAAAGAAAAATGCCCTTAACATAGGAGGAAAAGAATACATGATCTCTTTGAAATAAAAAATATTTATTCAATATGTATTTACTGTATAATTGAAGTTCCTTCAAACAATAAGCGTTAAGTAAAAGGAGTTAAATTCTCCTTGGCAAAGCACCCATTTTCTGTGAAGGAATCTCTGCATTTGATGGAGAAAGTGTAGACTTTGTGCACTTGGAATCTATTAAATGTGTATAAAAATTGGATGGAAGTTTATGCCAGATTCTTTTAAGTGAGGGATTTCAGTACCAACGTTGGGTCTTTGGTTTTTTTTTTTTTTTCCAATAAAATATTTATTAAACTGTTACATGAAAATTGTTTAGGTGCCTCGACCGCTTGCTATGAAAAAAGAGGGAATTCAAACCAGGAAACGAAAACCTAAGAACATAAATAAGTCAAAGACTTGCTCTGGTAAATATAATAAAATGCCATTTTATTGTAAAGTATTTGCCAACCTCAACAGTACAGTGTATGTATATTTATAAGGTTAATTTTGACTGTTGCAGGTAATAGCAATAATTCCGTTCCTATGACACCAACTTCCACCTCTTCTAACTCAGATGATTGCAGCAAAAATACTTCCCCTACAACACAACCTACAGCCTCAGGGGTAAGTGTTAAAACAGCATAGACTCCTTCTAAGTTAGTGGGTTGCTCTCTGCTAAATTATCTCAAATTTTATCTTATCTGGTAATGCAATAATCTAAACCAACAGTTCAGTTTAGTTAGTTGATACCTAAGAATAATTTTTTTAGAGGAAGTTATATTTAAATGTCAACAAAATGACAAACTTAAGTACCTTACAAACCCCTTAATTAAGATATATATATATTTTATGGTTAATTTAACCCAAGTAAACGCAAGAAGTTTTGGTTTGAAGAACTTTTAATTGTTCTGTTTCCAGATTTTTATCAGAGTTACTGTATATATGCATTTCTAACTGATCAGAAAAACTGAGAAGCCAGTGGTTTCTTGTATCCCTGTGCCCACGGCATTTAAGTTGCTTTTTAAATCGTCTGTAAAAACTGAAACTCGTCATAACGTGCTACATGCTGCTGTGTACACTGATTTTCCTTTGCTTAACTGTCCTCTTTCTGTGTCCTCTTGCTCTTCTAATGCCCCTTAATTGTATCTGGGCTTATTTCAGCCACAGGGCACACCTGGGAGCTATTGGCGCTGCTGAAGACGGACATGCCAGGGTCTTTGTGAAGATCACAGAGTTAGTTTCTGTAAAACTGTGATCGAAACTCAGTTTTCCTCAAGTAAAGAAAGCATTTTCCCACTCTAATGCTTCCCAACTTTACCCGGAATGCTCTTAAAAAAAATCACTGGGTCTCACCTCGGATCTGTGCCCTGGCAATTCTTAGGATTGCACTGAGACGAGTTTAGGACTAAACAGCAGTTCCCAACTTTACCCGGAATGCTCTTAAAAAAAATCACTGGGTCTCACCTCGGATCTGTGCCCCGGCAATTCTTAGGATTGCACTGAGACTAGTTTAGGACTAAACAGCAGCGTTTAAATTCCTATTTACTTAGTAATTGTTTTCTACATTTAGTTTTGCCCTGGAATTATTTGGGGTACTTAAAAAGATTCCTGGGCCCCACCCTGGATTTTCTGAGTCAGAATCTCTGGGGGTGGGGCTTGGAAATTTGTGTTTTTGAACAAGCGCTGCAGGTGAAATTGAAACTGCTGCCCTGGAGGTGTTTGGGGAACACAGACCTGTGTTCTTCCTGTCTTACTTTAATGGCTTTAGCAAACAAAAATTAAATATTTACAACAAAATATTTAAACTGCTTAAAATTATATTTGATATCTCCCTTTGTACTCCGACCCAAATTCTTTTGGGATTTCTCTTTAACGAAACAACACCCATTCAGAGTTTCATAAGGGAAAAAGCCTTTCAGTTTTTGTTACAGACACATGTTAAAGAATGTTTCTAGCTTTTATAAAGGTAGACTCTGGTGTATGGTGTTTTTTTACAGGAGGGTCAGATGTAACTTTAAGGATCTAAAGTGGCAATAGAACATGTTACTTATAAGGAAGTGAAAAAATCAAAATTATTTAAAAATATTCTTTATTATGCCCTAAGTCCTCCAAAGCAATTATGTAGCTAAATGAGGCAAAACAATGTTTTGGTTTTCCAAAGCATGGAGGATGCAGTCAGGTTTTGGCTTCAGTGTCTGTGACTCTCCTAGCTGAAATGATTGCTGCAGCAGCTCCGAGTCACTTTTGTTGCAGATAGGGCCTAGCTTAAGTGTGGCAAGATCTTAATTTGAATGAGGTAAATGGCACAGAAGTAGAGACATTTGCCCAACAATGGGCTTTGTGGACTTGAAGCCATTTGGGTGGAGTCAGTTTTGCTAACGTGGTTCTGTGATGTAAAATTTCAAAATTGGCTCTTAGCAAATCCAATCAGCTGCCCTCCAGGGAAAGAAGAGTGAAAGGCAGTGGAAAGGGCCCTGGTCTGGCTGGAAGAGGGGCCAGTCCTGTGCCTCGTTTGGTGTCCCAGGATCTCTCACCTGGGACAGAGCAAGCAGAGGCGGTTAGCTGGCCAGTACCCTTCAGAGGGAAGGTCAGTTCCCTGCTCCAGACCGGGAGGCAAAGCAATGAGGGCTAAAGGGTGCGGGAGTTTGAGAGTGGTTTCACGCAAGGGCTTTTGCTGCAAGCTCTCATCCCTTCCATAGCTGGGAAGCTGGTGGTGGCTGTG